CGGGGTGTGGGGACAGGGAGCACGGGGACAGGGAGCACGGGGACAGGGAGCACGCCCAGCTTTTGCAAGGCAACAGAATATTGCAGCCTATGTTCTCAGATACAGCTTCTGCCCTTCCCAGCGCTGTGTTCTCTGCACCTTCTGGGCAGTTTTTATTTATATCTTTGTTGATCCAAAGGGAATCAGTCTTAATTTAGCTTCTTGACTAGCTTATGGGGAAAATGAAAGTCTAGCCTGGAGCAGAAAAACCTCCAAAGGAGCTTTTCAGGGCTCTGTCGGGGCCTCCAGACACCGCAGGGCAGCGGGGTTGGAAGAGGCGGTCCTCTCAAGGGAGCGTGCTGCCACAGATGACAAGGGAGAAAGTGGGAAGAAAAGCCTTGTTCTTATAAAAAAACCCAAACTGTTGTTTCCTAGGTGATATAACAAAATCTGGTGGCATGCATGAAAAATGCATTTGGTTTCTCGAGGCAAAAAACTTGAAAATTTCCTTTGAAAAAATGAAGAACGGCACAGGGCTCAGAAAAGATGTATTTCTCCGTAGGCAGAAATGACCTGCTTCTACCTATACCTACTGCGAGAAAGCAAGCACATGTACCTCCCATCAGCGAGACTTCAAAATCTTTTTGCAGACTTTCTATAAAAAGCGCTACAGAAGCTTCGGTCCAAACAGATTCACCCGTTATTATTCATCTCAAGCTGCTGAAATTAAGACCCCACGCACTCAAGCTCCAGAAAACTTTACCAGCAGCTATCAGAACTTCAAGAGCAGCTCCCTGGCTGGTGAGAGTTGGTATCACTGCCTTGACTTCACCAGGAAAATGTCAATCATCAGCTAAAAAAAACCTGTCTCACCAAATTTATGGGTTAGCAAATATCTTCCAGGTCAGAAGGTAGGTTCCATACATAAACATTTTTAAATACACGAACCCCAGGCTTGTGTCTGTTCAAGTTGCCCAGCATTTGTGCTTTTAATTTATTTTCTTTCCAAGGAAAGAAGCGTATTAGACTGCAATTGCCTGAAAATTTTCAAGAGCAGACACCTGCCACAGCTGTTGACAGTCCAGAGCTAGTTCACAAGTGGCCGGACGATTCGGGACCTTACTGAAAGCTGCAAGGGGAGTCTGATGCTGCTCCGGAAATCAAACATTGCCCTCGACTCACCAAAGCGCACTCTCGTTACCAGTAACACCTTTCTGCTTGCCTAAGGGACCAGCAGGAACAGCACCTTTTTTACTCAAGAATTCTCAAATAAACTGAACCAGGAAAATACATTGAGCAACCTTATTCTGGGGACTGATGCTTTCTTACAGAATATTATTTAAGGGAAGCAATGAAATCACCTGATAATGAATTACATTTTCATTTCTGTAACTCCCTCCAGTCCCCTGCTAAAATGTTGCACGAGCCAAATTTCAGCTGAGGATCAAACAGCAACAGGCAACTTGCAAATCCACTCAGCAGAAGAAATCCGACCAACTCCCCTGCGGTGAAATCGCGCCGTCTCAAACGCTCCGGCCACCACGGCAGCTGGGGCGTGCTAACGCCAAGGGCCACGCTTCTGGAACAACATTTGGGATGATGGGGAGAAGTTAAAGAAGGATTAGGCTAAAAGGAAAAAAAAAATTATGATTTTATTTGTTTCTTTTTGAAAAAGAAAAGGGAAGAATGTAGCACCAGAAAAAATTCCCCCCATCCCACGGCACCGATCCTCAGACTGCTGTTGGTTTTTGCGCTTGTATTTCTGACAAGAGAAACACCTTCCTTTTAAAAAGACAGCTTAGGATAGAAATAGTTTCATGTGAAGAGTAAAAGAAGGCTAATGCTGTTCTCAGGGTGAAGACTGTGTTCCTGCAGTCAGAACACAGAGCTGCTTGCAGGCTCCACAACAGTTTTCACCATTTCTTTCAGTCTGCAAATCCGACGTTCAGATTTAAGGCGTAACGGATTACCTAAAGAAGCGCACTGTTTGCAAAGCCAAACGGTAAATCTCGAAATGTCAAATCTTTGCCTTGTTAGCTTTGAAAGTTCAGGATTGTTTGTCTTCTCTCCTCTGTTCTCTTCAGGCTTGCCTGGGCATTTCTTGTCTGTACAAGAAGGACGACAAATGGTTCACTCCAGAAGATATTACATCCAAGCCTGGATTTGAAGGGGGGCATTTGCTTTCGAGTTTAAACGGGTATGCAGTGAAATCGCCAGGCTTACCCATATCATCAGAGGTCCTGCAATGCTGCAGTCTTGTCTGAAGTGATTTTATCCATTTGTCAGAGGAGAGGGCTTCTACTTGCTTCTTTAAGGCCATCATCTTCCTAAAGGACGTGCTGTATTTCCACTAAATGTATCTCTATTTCTTCTGTCTAACACAGATCCTTAGGAACAAAGACCAGAATAAGTATTAACGGCTTCAAACACTCGGGCGGAGCCAGGCTGTGGACAAGCAGCCGTCCCCTCGTGCCAGCTGACCCATCCCTCGGCTTTGTGCACGTTTCTCCGTCGGCAGCCGCAGGGCGGCTTGTCCCACCTTCCCCCCAGTCTCTGCCCCCACACGCGCTCCTGCCGCACTCCTGCACGTGCCTCCTGTGCCCATGATTCCAGAAGCCAGGCAAAGGTGTCCCTACCCTAAGCAGGCCAGCGGAGGACTAAGCCTGACCTCTCCGACAGAAGAAAGCGACCAGCAATTTAACCTTTAAAAAAGATCAAAAAAGTTACAAGATAATTTACAAACCACAAGAGTGCAAGTCTATAGCCTCACGGTCTCTGCGGTATTTTCTGATTTCAGCTGAGTGACATTTTTAAGCTCCTATGGTAAACTAAAGCTTTCTTCACCCCTGAAAGCACCGAAGGAACCTCTCAGGCGCAGGAAGAAATCCACTTTATGATGGGCAACACCTACTCCATCCTCAGGCTGCTTTTATTCTTGGAGTGCTGGGACACCAGCGCAACAAACCCCAGGAAAAAATGGATTTTTCTAATGAGTAAGTGGGGTGTAGGAAACCAGTCCCGCTCGCGTGCTCAAGGATTTCTTCACACACCACAAACAAACCGGCAGCGCTCAGCCGCTTGCCTAAAGGCAGGAGCTCTGTGCTGGCAATTACCGCACGGGGAGGGATGGATCTGGGCTGCAGAAATCTGCTTTTCCCTGCGCTTGCACAGGAGATTGTCCTTCAAAGCGGAATCAGGAGGGAGCCAGTGAAACATAAGGACTTAAAAGCTTAGAAGTTGCATAAGAGTGAGCAAAATTAAACTCCCACACCAGGTATCCGTGTGTCATACACACGCTGCCCCAGGTAATCCCCCCTGCCACCATTCCACCCAACAATTCCTACAATCGTGTCCTGAAGAACCGAATATTGGATTTCCACAGTTATTCCAGCGTAGCCAGAACCAGCCACAAATTGAAACTAGTTCATTAAATGAATTCAAAGAGGAATTATTTTGTTTTCAGCCTAAAATGAAAAAAGCCCGGGGTGAAATCCTCCTGGGTGTCCGTGGCTGTAAGGGGGGTTCCAGCCCAACTGCTGCAGGATTGGAAAGGGGCCCTTTGGATTCGGAGTCACTCGATCCTCCTCCAATCTAACAATGTACACCCATATTCGCCCAAACCGCTCCTTCAACTAGCAAACCACACTCCTAAAGAGAACGCGTTAAAAGCGACAGAATTCTCCACTGAAATATTTCTGTTTGGAAAGCAAGAAGAGATTTTTACATACACAGATCACTGCTGTACAAATCATAGAACTCACCGCCACTAACGAAGAAGTTTTGTTATCAAGTGAGATTTTATGCTGCAAAATGGGTTTTGTTGTTACTGTTAATATTTGCAGAATCATAAATAAGAAGCATGCACACGCTTTGCTTCTGGCAAGTGGGGACCAACTGCAATAGCAAATTTGTAGAAATAAAAATAATAGACAGCTTCTAAAAGCCCTTGAACATCAGCAGCCCTGGCCTGTCGTTGAGATCGTTGCAGTCTGTTGGCTTTGCAAACCCCAAAACATCCTCTCCTGACAGACATTTGAAACCAGCATCATTCAGCTCATGATGAACTATCCATCAAAAATTATGCAAGCACATTTTTCTAATGAGTTTTTTAAACCTTCCAACCACTTTAACAAAACGTTCTGCTATGGAAAAGGCACATCCAGAGCAGTTACACCCAATGGAGCGAATTTATCCACGCCTCAGACACGGAGAGGCCACAGACGCGCCTCGCACAAAGCACGCTTTGGCGCAAGAGGCTCCGAGTTGGAAAATCACTGATCCTGCTCCTTGAAATGCGACGGCTTTGAACTCCAGGATCGTCTCCAGGATCACCTCCCTGCCCTCGGCTTCCCAGGATTTCACCTCGACCGTGAGGAGTTCCCCCACCCAGCCCCCGCGGTGCCGGTTACCTTGCGGACGTGGCAGGAGAAGAGAACCTTCATGTACTTGTCTTTCCGCTTCAGCTCGTTGGCAACACGGAGGAAAGAGCCGGTGGTCTGCGGGTTATCTGGTTTCTGAAAGAGCAAAGACAGGCACAGAACGGTAGGTTGCGGCAGGGCAGAGAGGGCTGAAGCTGCTCCACCTCGTCCGAAGGCTTCCTCCAGACTTGGCCTCGTCCAGGCGCGGCAGAGCAGCTGGAGTTTTATCGGCTTGTTCAAAAACAGCCTGAACAAAACAAAATGCTCAAAGGAAGGATGGAGTAAAAGGAAGCAATGCAAGTTGCCTCGAGAGAATTCCTTTGTTCTTTTTCATTTTATGCTATTTCTTAACAACCCATTATATCTAGAGTTTTAGTTGTACATCAGCCTCTCTCCTAGCTTGGGCCATTTGAAGAGCCAGCTGATGGCACTGCTCATTATCTTTTAATGCTGCTTGTGACGCTCGCGTGAGGCTCGGCGTTCAGAGAAATCACTCCCAGGGCAGTAGGAGTCAAAGACTCTGAAACTGTATTAACCCATTTACAGAGGAAATTTCAAAGCGCTTCTCCCTCCCAAGAAACCAATAGTCGCTTTTTCAAGTTTCCACCCTTTCAGCATGCTACGCCCCAGCTGTTGCACCGATGACTCCACTGGTACTCACCAGGGCGAGGTAATTCCCCTCCCAGGCTCTCTGCAGGCCAATATCCGCTCTGTGGCCCTTCAGCAACTCCATGGCAGCAACCTTGGCCCTCAGCTGAGGCAGGACTTCTGGCGGGACGCTGCGGATGAGTTCGCCTGCTCTCCACCTGCGGCAGAACGCCAGAATCAGTCCCCCAGCCTGTACCACGCACCAGGAGGGCTCCTTCTGCCAGATCAGCCCAACAAGGACACCCCTAGACCATGTATGTCGGGGGAAAAGGAGTCCTCCCGTCGCACTCATACAGCTGGACACATCAGTTATCGTTTCAGAGTCACACATCATCTCTGACTCCTAACAAGGCTGGCTGGTATAATCCCTGTCCCGTACCCAGAAGTCAACTACTGGCACATCTGTTGGCAATAAAGTGTTTGCAAGCCCGTTTTTGGCTCATTTACAACCTCATTCTCCTTTACTAGCTGGATTTGGCCCGGCAATTGAAACCTAACCAACTGTAACGTGAAACGGGGCAGGGCACCCATCCATCCCTCCACACCACGCTCCAGCCTTCAGCAGCATCAGGTCTCCAGGATTAATGCCATGAAAAGTCTTTTAGCAATTAAAATGTACTTATGATAGCTGAGCTTATTCAGAAAGCAGGACCCTCTGCCCAGACAAGCTGTGGATGGCTTTCAAGAGACAGCTGGGGAAAAATCCCAGGCTGACTTGACGGAGTGCTGGTGGTAATCCCCCTTCAAGCAGATGGCTGCGCTGGAGATCTCTGGAGGCCCCGTCCAGCCAACACTTCCCCTGTTCAGTGACTTTCAGAAGGCGTAATTTTTCAAATTGGAATTGTAACTTTGCCCACAACTTCCCAGAGAAAAAAAAATCACCAGCTTTTAGATGAGGTTGTAAAAAAGGTATAAAATACCTCTTCTGCTGTATGGCAGACAGCAGAACATTGCTATTGCAGGAAAGCACTGACTTACTACAAGGAATCCTGCCAAAGCTGAACAGATTCCTTTTCTCTCCCCACTGCCTAACAGCAGCTGCTCTTTGCTTTTGAAACCAATCAGAAATGGGTCAAGGAAGGAAATACAACGTCCATCCTGACTAACTCTTTGAAACAGAACAATTATTTGCCTCGTCAGGGCCACCAAAACCCACCGACTTCTTCATCTATGATCACAGAATCACAGAATGGTAGAGATTG